AAAAAATTACCACAAATTTAAAATTCAAGACATTGGTTAATGAAGTAAATATTACTTTTCCTCTTTTTTGTCAACTTGACTCTCCATCCATACATGTGTCTGTTTTTATTTACTTCTCTCTTTTTTCTTTGTTGCTCTTGTCTATCTCTTAATTTCATCATCTTTCTACCCATCTGATATATTTTTTCATTGAAAAAAAAACAAAAAAAAACTATGACCATTGGGAAATTAAAAGAAAATAACACTCAATATAAACTATGACAATTAATATAAAATCAGATTTCAATAAGCTTATCTCAGTTGTGGCTCATTTGTAAATAAAGAAAAATATACATTGAACTTTCTGATCTGCTTCAGTGTATTCATTAATAATACCACAGAACACCATTAATCCTAGCCAGGATTGAACATCAAGTGACATAAAGACTATTTTAAAAATAGAACTTGATACAAGACACCTACAACACTTGTACTGTGGTTTAATTTTGCCTTTGACATGTCAGATTATATATATACCACTCATATTCTTCATGCCCCTATCTTGCAACTACTGAAATAACTAAAATGAAAGCACTTTGACACATTAAGTCAAAAGGTTTCAAAAAGCTCAGGAGACATGAATGAATGGCACAAGTGTTTGCCCTAATGTAAAACATAGTTCACAAGAAACACAAATCTAGGAAGGAACTTGCCAGTTTTACAGAAAAAAGGTGATGGTGTCTGAATCCAGAGGCAGCTGTGCTGACTACTGCCGAGAAAGACTGTTGCATGGTAACTTCAGGTTGATATTTAAAGTCTTTCTGGCCCCTGGGGTTTTGTATTCATTAATAAAAGTTTTTACTATAATGTGATTACACGGCAGCACAAATCCTTAAGGAGAAAATGTACCTGATGATAAAATTGCTTCAGATTATCAGTCAGGCAAAGAGCCAGATGATAGCCATGTTCTTCTGTCCTGTGATTTTTGTGCTGACATTCATTAGCATATTGTGCAAACTTCAGTGACTCCTACTTCAATTTTTATACCTTCTCCAATGGAAGTGTGGAAATTTGACTATGTGTTTTAGCTTATAAATATAATAAGCTCTATATATTTAATGGAATGTATTCAAGATATGAAAATATGATCATATCACTGAGTGGCACAAATGCAAGAATTGGGTTAACTATGGTCTATTGTCTTATATGACTCAGATATTTTTAAAATTTTGTTTTCCATTTGATAGCATAATATATGTTATATAGTTAGGTATAAGTTGACAAATCATTCTTGGTATTTGGGTTTGTGGGTACTTTTGGAATAAATAAGATGCACATGTTTATTTTTGTAAAGTTCAACATCTATCCATCAGGAAAGTCATAATGAACATATCTATCTATCTATATGAATATAAATATACATATATATACATATATATATGTATATGTATATGTGTGTATGTGTGTGTGTGTGCACATGTGTGTTTATGTTGGAGGGAGTGTCAGTTCAGCAGGCTACCTACCTTCTATTGCTAGGAGTCTTAGCTAGAGTCATCCTTGAGGATTCATAGGAGTTTCCTTTGTATCAGGTTTCTACATGACCCCAAAATGTTACTACCAAGTCATCTCTTTCATTACTCTCCTCTTCCATTCACCCCTCAACCTTATTCCTCATGCTCTCATTACCACCAGCCCATAGTCTAATTAGAAGATCTCTTCTATTTCTCCTTTCCAGGGAAATCCATGTGTCCCACTTTGTGACCTCTTTGTTACCTAGCCACTCTGGGTCTATGGATTTTAACATAGTTATTCTTTACTTCAAGCTAATAGCCAGTTATGAATGAATATTTGCCACATTTGTCTCTTGTGGGATTCTTGGCACTGTGAGCTGCTCTTGTCCCTAGCACGTTGGCTGTCTTTTGGGAACCTGTTGCTAATGTTGGATTGCCTTGTCCAGCCTGAATACAACAAGATCAGCTTAGTCCTACCTCCACTTGATATTCTACGCTTTCCTGGCACCCATGTGAGGTCTGCCCCTTTCTGAGCAGAGGTTTAAGAAGGGTAGACTGGGGTGGAGGGCAGAGAAGAAGCAAGAGGAGGTACTGGAGGGAGAAGAAGAAGCTGTGTTTGGGATATAAAATAAATGAAAAAATAACAATAAAGAAAAAATATGGAGGAAATAATCTCAGGCATTAAAGACATGATGGAAGAAGTAAATATCTGGGTCAAATAAAATGTTAAATCTAAAATCTCCTGTATAAAATATTAATGAAATCTGGGACATTATGAAATGACTAAATATAAGAATAATAGGATTATAATATTCAGTACCATTGCTCACTAGGGAAATACAAAATAAACTATTTCAAGATTCTAGCTCATCCAAGTAAATGTGGTTGTTAAAAAAAATAAATGACATCAAATTCTATGAAGGATGTAATTAAAAGAAATCATTTATTCATTATTGATGGGGATATAAACTGATGCAATCATTATGAAAATCAACTTAACAGTTTTTTTCAGAAAGCCAGAAATGAAACTTATGATTCAGCTATACCATTTCTGAGCATGCAACTGAAGGACTCTATCTCCCATCAGTCTGGAACAAGGTCTGTTTCCCAACTTGAAAAACAATAAAAATTCTTGTCTTGCTTATTTCCAGCAAGTGTTAGATAATATGTGATAGTCCATACAAATCATGAGCCACAATTTAGCAAGTACATTAGTATTGTGAGATAGTACTGAATATTGTATATATTTAAATTAAAAATTGATCTTCTCCTATTCTCTCTTCCTGAAACTGATCCCTTAAGGAGAAAGAACCATAACTTACATTGAATATCCTACACAGTTTCTCCTAACTCTGGTCAGACTACAGTTAATTTCCATGAAGATTAACTGGCACCATCCTCCTGCCTTTCTGTGTGTGACTCACAACATACCTGAACCTTTAGTTCCCAAAACCCTACAGATAGCAAAAATGGCTTGGAGATAGTAGTAAACTACTTGGAATCCTCAGGGTGGTGGGGTAGTGGTGGACATTAGCTATAGGTGACCATAATTTGTTTGAAATATGTCTATCCAAGGCATACGCAACCTAACTTGCCTATCCTATGTTCAGACAGTGAAAAAAAACTTACCACACTCTTCCTGTACTTTCTAGAATTCCAGACCTTAATGAGGCCTCAAAATCAGGTCACCAACAGCTCAAAACAGTGAGCTCATACTAAGCTTCAGGTTTGGAATAGGAAGGCGCCAGCTCAGGCTGCTGTGCCTGCATTAAAAGGCACAGCATACTCACATCTCATCACAAAATCATTATGGAAGATCAAGACAGTATTTCCTGCCCCCCAAGTCATCTTTATGATACAAATGAACTCCCATGAATATTAGTTTGATGAACCTTAGGATACAAATTTAAAATAATATTAAAATTTATCCAAGATTTCAGTTTGAAGACACACACATACACACCCAAAAAAAGAAAACAGCTCAATGCAAGTTAAGAGAATAACTCAAAGAAAATAAATGCCTGAGAACACTCAACAAAACAAAAATATAAGTCTGAATAAAATGAAAAAGACAATCCTGAATCAGAAAACCAAAGTAAATAAAACTAAAGACATATTTAAGAAAAATGATGGTGAAATGATGTTGGGATTCAAATACTCAGTAATACAAATAAAAAATTCAAGGAAAAACTTTATCAATAATCTAATACTGAAACACAATATATGACTAGAAATACTCCTAGAAAAATATAACCCAATAAAGTAGCTTCAATAAACACACACTTTTTTATTTAAATTAGAAACAATCTTATTTTACATATCAATCCCAGTTCCCTCTCCCTCCCCTCCTCCCCGGCCCCCATCAACCCCCATCCCATCTGCTTTCTGATCCCCAGGGAGGGTTTGGCCTTCCATGAGGGATCATCAATGTCTGTTACATCATTTGGGTCAGGGCCTAGGCCCTCAGCCATTTAAACACACACATTTTACTCATTTTACTAAGAATTGTAGATGTTAATATTCTCAACTCTTCAATTAAAGATACAGACAGTGAATGGAATAAGAAACAAAAATTGATCTTCTGGTTATCTACATTTTAGGTTTAAAAATAGGGAAGCCAACAACACCAAGAAACAGGAGTGTATTGCCATCTCAGTTCCTGACAAAAAAAGATTTCCAATTACAACAAATCAAAAGACATAAAAAGAATACTTTATTCTAATTGAGAATACAAAATAAGCAAGAAAATATTACAATGACACATATGCACCAAACTCTGAGGCACCCAGTTTCATAAGAAAAACACAGTACTAGAATTAAAGACACAGATTAATAGAAGGCAATAATAGATGATTTAATGTGTCATTACTCCCATTGTATGTGTGCTATGGTCAAAATATAAGGAGAAACAACAGAATTCAATGATCTTGCACATCAAATGTAATAAAAAGATATATATGGAATATGTCACCCAATAGCTTTAAATCCTCTTGTACTCCATCTGGAAAACAGTTTCCTTTCAGGGCTAGATGTGAATGGATCACATTTCCCTATTTGTTATGTTTGTGATGTTTTTGAATTGTTTAAATCATATGGTCTCTCTTTTCTGCTTTGATTTATTTTGTGTACATGTGTGTGTTGGGAAAGATACAAATGCATACACTCATGTGAGCTCAGGTCATGATTTACATAAGAGGTCAGAGGACAACCTGCAGAAGTTAGTTCTGTCCTTCTTTCTTATAAGTCTGTGCTGGCTAGTTGTTTTGTCAATATGACTCTAGCTTTAGTTACCTGAGGGTGGGACTCAGAATAAAACACTACACTAATATTATCTTGGAATTCATAGCCTATAATAGAAAGGGAGTAATACAATTAGATTAAGGAAGAATAGCTTATGGAATCAAATATCATATTATAACTTTGTTGCTAGTAGTTATAATGGCTTGGGGCTGCCTTCAATACTTGCATTTAATTTAGAAACCTGCGGCCAAATATATTGTTTCATTAAGATTAATTAAAGTTATTTTTTCCATAGTGTATGTTGTCTCTGATGCCATGAAACACATTCTTATCTGGCTTTAACAAAATTATGTAGCATTTGGGGGCAAATATGAAGCCTAGGAGAGCTGCACTGGAGGCCAAAATAGAGAAGACTTCCATAGCCACCATAATCTTTCCCTTGGTGCTGTGGTAGACAGGAAGGAAAGTGACCCACACACTGAAGAACACAAGCATGCTGAATGACAAGAACTTGGCTTCATTGAATTTGTCAGGAAGATTCCTGGTCAAGAAGGCCATGATGTAGCTTCCAAGGGCCAAAGAACAGAGGTATCCCAGGACACAGTGGAAGGCAATGGATGAGCCCTTGTTGCACAAAATTATGATGTGTCCATGTAGAGCATGAAGATCTTGATCAACAAAGGGAGGAGAGGTTCCAAGCCAGATTCCACAAAGAATGATTTGGAGAAGAGTGAAGATAGGAATGATGTAGTTAGTAGCCCTTGAAACCATTAACCACCTCATCAATTTCCCTGGATAAGTAACTTTGAAGGCAATAACTACAGTAAGAGCTTTGGCCAATACAGTAGAGAGAGCCACAGTGAACACAATTCCAAATACAGTCTGCTGCAGGATGCAGGTAGCTGAGTTGGGCTGCCCAATAAAGAGCAAGGAAGAAAGGAAACAGATGATGAGGGTGATGAGCAGAATGTAACTGAGGGCTCGATTATTGGCCTTTACAATGGGAGTGTCTCGATGCTTCACAAAGACCCCAAGAATGGTAGCTGTAATTGCAGAGAAGCACAAGGCGGTGCTACTGAGTGCCATGCCCAAGGGATCTTCAAAATGTAAAAATGTCACGGTTTTCTTGAGGCAGTGTTTCTTCTCCCTGTTTGCATATTGGCTTTCTGGACACATCACACAATCATCCACATCTAAGAAAAAATTAAGGTGGTCATGAGTGTGTGTTCAGATATTTCTTTTTATGCTAAGGTACTTTTCAGTAGCAATTGTTTGGACTGTTTTCTCAATGACTCTCTTGCTTCCTTCCAACATAAATAAATAAATACACTGCAGTGAGTAATTCCAAATTTATATGCCCCCCTTTTCTTCATGGAGCCACAAACTAACAAACCACAAGCCTTTTATATGTATTTATTTTCATGTTTACCTTGAGTTTTAAATGTTTTTTTAATTTCTTTTTAAAGTCACATCGTTACCAAATTAGTTTTCATCAACATAAATTAATTCAAATATCACTTCCTCATAAAAATTCATACCCATCTTGAACTGGAAATGCTTTCACGTGTACAGATAGAAAATTTCCTTTAAAATTAGTTATTATAATGCTGATCACAGATAAGGGTCACAATTTACCCATTTTCATAAAATCCATTGTCTTCTTCAATTTTGATCATTATCTGATGGAACTTGAGTGTTCCATATTCATATATTTTTCATGTCTTAAATTCTTTACTATTTAAATTCTTGTTGTAAAATGTAGTTACTATCTATATCTTGATCAAGAGATTTACTGAAGATACCATGTATTTATGCCATAAAACTTGGGGAAATCTTGCTGGTACTTAACTTGATGCTTTACCACTTATAGTTAGCATTCATATTTATAGAACATTCTATACATACACACGACTAAAGAAGGAAAGTAATCATCAATCTCTTCCAGCTTCATAATCTTTGAACTGTAATGACAGCTTATGCATACTGATGCAACAGTGTCAGGACTGTTAGGAGAGTAACCAGTTGCTTTTTTTATTGTGTTTAACAATTTCACTAGATAAAAACCATATTTGATACTACTATTGATTCCAGAAAATTGGCTACACTGGTTCTTAGTCCAAGGAGCAAACCTATACTATCAATCTGCTGAATGATCATAACAATAATAGGAATCCTACTGTTGAGTCATCATACTCATAGATCAGTTTATAATTCCATCCTAGAAACTTCCTTTGCAGTAGATAATAACTGAACACACAAAGAATTAAAGACTTATGAAATGTAATTGCATCCCTCCATCATTGTATCCCTCCTCTCAAGTCTTGGAAATCTATGTGGAAAGGCCTTTGGAAAGTTTGTAAAGTCCAACTGTCTTAGGCTTCTTTCTGCTGTGAAAAGACACCATGTCCATGCCAACTCTTATTAAAGAAAACATTTAATTTAGAGTGACTCTCTTACTGTTCAGAAGTTCAGACCAATATGGTGCTTGCTACCTTGTGATCAGAAGGGAACAGGAATTGCACTGTGACACTGAATGGTATCTTGAAAATATGAAACCTCAATGTGCATCCCACATTATCCCACTTACTCCAACAAAGTCAACCTGTTCTAAAACAGCCACAACTCCTAATAGTTCCATTCCCTATGACTATATGGGGGCCGATTACATTCACTTTACCAAACTAGGGATAGTAGATTATTTTAAGAAAATAGCATTTTCCAAACAACAGGGCAGGTGCATTTGTAAAGTCAAAGAGACTATAACAGTATGCAAAAATCTTCACAAGCTCAAGCCAGATAAATTTTCAGAATGGGGTAGGGGAAGTGTTTGTAAAATACCACTCTAAATCTCGAAGCTGTTCCAAAATGGTAGCTACTAGGAGACAAATTAGCAGTTTTTGTTTTCAATCTGATGAACCTGGGTTTATCAACCAATCTTCAGGGCAGACCCCATACTCAGATAATTGGTGAACACAAATAAGACTCCCTGCCTTTTTGTGCCTATTTCTAAGACATGCAAATAACATGAACTTTAGTGAGCTGGAATGTGGAGTACTTTGGAGGAGTTGGAGAATGTCAAGGAATATGATATAATGTACGGAATGAAATTTTCAATGAGAAAGTAAAGCTAAAAGTATTTAAAAAGTTGGATATACCTGTTTTATTAATAGACACAAAATTCTTGAGCTATTTAAGATACAATTTTGTAATATCCGATTCTTACGATATGTGAAATAAATTTGAGTTCAAAATATATACATATTTGTTTATTTATATCATATTTTAGTATATAAAATGTATATGTTTCTGGAATATGATATGAGCATCCAACTTCTGAATTTTATTTTTGTTGATTAAACTTAGTAATATATTTTCAATTTTGAATTTTATTAGAATATATTAAAGGTATATGTGCCACAGGGAACGACTAATCCACACCTAAGAAACATAGCTAAACAAAATATGCCCCATTGATAAAAAGAGACCTTCCCTTTTAATTGGTGGTCAAGTTGAGAGGTAATAGAAAAGAAGAGGGTTGGATGCAATAGAGTAATGTGGCAGTTCAAAATGTTCTAGCAAGGGAATGTAAGGACCATGGTGTGGAATGGATTTCACTCAATGTTAGACCAACACAGGTATGGGAAGTTCAACATGATGGGGGATGTCCTTCTGTATTTTGTGAATATGTGTTTCTCTTATTGATTGGTGAATAAATGCTGATAGGCCAGTAGCACAGACACTGAGATTAACAATTAATAAATGGGACCCCTTGAAACTGAGAAGCTTCTGTAAGGCAAAGGACATAGTCAACAAGATAAAAGGGCAGCAGAGAGAATGGAAAAAGATCTTCACCAACCCTACATCTTTGGATATCAGAGGGCTGATATCCAAAATATACAAAGAACAAACGAAGCTAGTCACCAAAACACCAAATAATACAATTATGAAGTGGGGTAGAGAACTAAATAGAAAATTCTCAATAGAGAAATTTGAAATGGCTGAAAGATACTTAAAGTGCTCAATATCCTTATCTATCCAGGAAATGCAAATCAAAGCAACTCTGAGATACCATCTTATTCCTGTCAGGATGGCTAAAATAAAAAAATACAAATAACAGTTTATGCTGGAGAGAATATGTAGAAAAGAGAACACTCCTTCATTGCTGTTGGCAGTGCAAACTTGTACAGACACTTTGTAAATCAGTATGGTGGTTCCTCAGGAAAATGGGAATCAGTCTACCACAATATCCAGCCATTCCACTCTTAGTTAGGCATATACCCCAAAGATTTACATTCATGAAACAAAGAAATCTGTTCAACTATGTTCATAGCAGCATTATTTGTAAGAGCCAGAAACTGGAAGCAACCTAGATGTCCCTCAACTGAAGAATGGATAAGAAGATGTGGTACATTTACACACTGGAGTACTACTCAGCAGAAAAAACCAAATAAACAAAATCAACAACAAAAACCCAAACCAAAATAAATAAAAAACAAACAAACAAGGAAAACAATGGATATGTGGTTGAAAACAAAGAATCATCAGCCTACAATCCACACCACCAGGAAAGCTAGGAAACAAGGTGGACCCTAAGAGAGACATACATGGTCCCTCACAGAAGGGGAAAGGGACAAGATCTCCTGAGCAAATTGAGAGCAGGGGGAGGGGAGATGGAGTTAGGAGAAGTAGAGGGTAACAAGAAAAGGGGAGAGGATAACATGGAGCAGGAAGATTGAGTTTGGGGAAGAATGGAGGAGAACATGAAAGGAGATACCATATTAGAGCAAGCCATTTATAGGTTTAAAGAGAAATCTAGCACTTAGAAATGTCCAGTAACCTATATGAATGACCCCAACTAACAATCTAAGCAATAGTGGAGAGGCCGTTCCCCAATAATCAGATTGATGGATACCTTATATGCCATCTTAGAGCCCTCATACATTAGCTGATGGAGCAGAAGCAGACACCCACAGCTAAACACTGAGCCAAATCCTGGGGTACATTTGCAGAGAGGGAGAATTGATGAGCAAAGAAACCCACAGAATCAGCTGACCTGAGCAAGGGGTAGCTCATGGCCCCCAGGCTGACAGCTGGAAACCAACATAGGACTGACCCAGACCCCCTGAATGTGGATCACAGCTAAGAGGCCTGGGAAGTCTATGGAATCTCTGATAATGGATCCAGGATTTATCCATAGATCAGTAACAGATTTTTGAGAGCCTATTCCCTGTGTAAGTATACTCCTTTGGCCTGGAGACACAAGGGAGGGCCAAGGCCATACCCCAATGACTTGACAGACTTTGATGATCCCTTATGGAGAATCTCATCCTCTTTGGGCAGTGGATGGGGGATGTGATGGAGGGTATGTGGAGGGCAAAGGAGGATGGGAGGGAGAGGGAACTGGAATCATATGTATAATAAGAAAAAATACATTAAATAAAAAAAGAGAAAAGAAATCACAATGAACCCAAAACTTAAGTGATTAAAACTTATGTGATTAAAATGTAGTTTGAAAAAAATAAAATTAAAACACTTGGCTGTGGAAATTTTTTTAAACAAAATTTATAATGAGTCAATACCATATATATATATATGTATATATATATATATACATATATATATGTGTGTATGTATGTATGTGTGTATATATATATATATATATATATATATATATATATATATATATATAATTTCTCTGTATTACTTTAGAGCCTTTCCTGGATCTTTGTTCTGTAGACCAGTGTAACCTTGAACACAAAGAGGCCCACCTGCCTCTGCCTCTCAAGTTTTGGGACTAAAAGCATGTACTACCAATGTGCAGTTCAAGTATGAATTTTAATTTCATTCTTGTGTTATTTAAATAAGAAATATGATCAGGAACACTATTAAAATTGCCATAAATAGGAAAAGTTTTTTTCTTTGTAGTTTGCTTATAGACCTTTGTAATTTTGCTTTGATTTTTCAAACATAATGCAGATTTTAAGTATTTCTTAGACTTTCATTTACCTGTCTCATTGGAAATCTCATTATCCGGACAGGAAGTACAATCAAAGCAACAGGCACCTTTACCCTCTATGACAGTTCTTCTGAATCCAGGTTCACAGAGTTTAGAGCATACAGACTTAGGAATCTGAAGAAAATGGAAGATGATTTAGGAAATAATCATAGTTCTAGGAATATAGAGTTTTTAAATATTAAATTATAAATTCTTAGATTTTATACTCATAAATGTTGATAATGATTAAGGTACTACCAGTTTTGGAAGGTAGTGCTCAACACAAGCCAATAGGGTTACAATTTGACCCAAAGGTCAAGAATTTAATGGCAGGTTGTCAACTATCAGGGCAATGGTTAATTCACAAGAACATAGTTGATTCTGGCATCTGGTATTATTCCAGATATATCTATCTCTGCCTATATTGACTATATAGGTAATCAGCTTTCATTTCCACAAGCTTTGCTAATACTGTCAACTTAGAAATATTTGCATTCACTGTGAAACAAGTATTTTCACACTCATCTGATGTATTTCCAATTGAGTCTACATGTATTAGAAAAAGCCACTCTTAAAATAGTTACTCTATTGAATATACAATTTCATTGTGAATGAAACGGAAAAAGGGAGTAGTAGCATTAACCACTTATAACTTCTGAATATTATGACCAGTGGTTTCCTGCTCCTACAATTAAGCTTTATTTAAATTGATGAAACTATTCTCTGAATTAGAGAGCTAAAGAAATCCTAACAATTAATTTTGTTAACAAATTTGTTTTCAGTAGCAAGATAAGTCTCTAAGATATACACACATGCCCATTATACCTTACTTATAACTGTTCTAGTGAATTAAATTCCAGAAAACTTTGTCCTGCTATTACACAAAATGAATCAAAATAAAATTCATATCAAATTTTTTAAGCAATGACATAAATTTTATTCAAACATATATTTACAATAAGTTAAAAATTAAGAAACACTGAAAAACAAAAATTCTATTTATCAGAATCTGGATGTCAAAAAATTCTGTGTATATGTTATTATGGTATTCTGAATTTGTACTTTTTTACTAACTGGATCTGAGTGAGAAACTAATAATTTTTAAATACATAAACATGTTTTCTTTTAATTAGTAATTTCAAACAATTGAGATAAGAACCAACTTACCTCTGTAAATCCTGTGGGCCATTGTATCAAATGATTAGTTAAAGATAATTGTTGATCTTGTGGAGCATTTGGAGAAAATGATCCTACTTTCACCTTTAATCCAAACCCTTTTGGAAAATTCCAGAAATTGATAATGTCATACTTAAAATCTAACATAGATCTCATATCCACTACCATGTGACTTCCCACTTGATTATTCATATACATATTCTGTAGGAATTGATGGACCTAAAGGAGATACACGAATTTATATTAAAGCATGTCTCAGACAGTTACAACAGAACCAAAATACTGAAAAGTCTCTCTCTGTTTTTTGGTCCTTGAAGTAAAAAACAATTTACTATAAACAATTTTACTCAATAATGTTCAATAAATGGTGATAAAAATTAGTATTATAATAATGAAATATACATCTGTTTCAAGAGAAAGCATTAAAGCAAGCGTACATAAGCAGCCAAAGGTGATGAAATCTCAAACCTGAACATCCCTAAACAACCCTTTATGTACATAACCATTGCTTCAGTGCTTAGTAACAATGTGTTATTTAAACATCTGCTTTTTCATTTCTACTGTAAAAAATTTATGAAGGAATTCTAAATTTTTCTAATTGAATCTATTATTAAGGGGACTGTGAGAATATTTGTAAAATGAACTTGATACTGTCTTAACACATTTCTAATAGCTGGTACCCAATTTATCAGGGATAAAGAAACTTAGGTAAGTATTGAGCTCCAGAGAAACAAGTACAAGAACTCCTATGCCATTTGGAGAAATGTATCACCATGTACAGTTCTCAGGTTTGGTAAATTCGAAAAGCATCTCAATGTAGCAATGCTGATTTAAATCATAGTGAAGAGAGATTGGATACCTGCCAGGGGAGGAATATATGTCCCTCTGCATTTTCAGATTGTTGAATTTGAATATGATTAAGAATTAACTTGTGGAGACTGTGGGCCACTGCATACACAGCATTATATATATAATAACTCTCTTCGCTCATGGCTGTCTCAAAATTTTGCTTAGGCAATAAATCCAAGGAAGCATTGGGTTGACAGTTATCCGGCAGTTTACAATCAATTTGAGAAAATGGGCATTTGAAAAACAAATGCCACAATTTAGGAAGATATGTATCTTCTGGGTATTTGGAAGGACGAACCGTTTGAATGAAATTTGTAAACTCAACTACCTCCTCATAGTGGTGTGAAAAAGTGAGACTCCCATGGAAAGAATCTAACATAAAATAGTCAATGTGGTTGGTAACATCCCATTGTGAGTTCATAACCCAGACTTTCCATGTTGTTAACTTCTGCCCTATATTTTTTATTACACCTTGTAGAGAATCAGTGTCTCCAAAAATGATAATCACATTTGCAGTTGAGTCTTGGATCTTTCCCATACTTTTCCAGAAAGTGTGGGAAAATGAATTCCAGGTACCTGAAATAATTTCTACAAAAGCCAAACAGACATTATTTTTCTTCATCTTTTCTTTCAAGTCAGATAAACTCTGCATTCCTCTGTGGTCATCTGTGAGGAGCAGTCCTACCCAGCTCCATTTGAAATGACGCATCAAAGAGACAATGCCAAGTGGTAGAGATGTATCACTGGGGGCCATCTGGTAGAGAGAGGTAAGCTGTGTTCGATCACTAAGGATAGTGTCAAAAGGCCCAAAAGTAAGCTAAGAGGAAAGCAGAGTTTTGAAAAATGGATGAGAACATTGGCATCAAATACAGTTTTACTTTTGTAGCAACAGTTGGGACTTGTTAAGATGATAATCTGTACATTGTAATTTTTAAGACAACACCCCCCCTTGCTGTGAGATTTATAAAAAAATTATGTCAAGATTACCTTTGTCTTCTCTACCCTGCTGGTCCATTCTATTCAAGCAGGAGAAGTATGCACAGATCACTAAATGTCTAGATATTTTTTCAATATTAGAATAGTAATTCAGATGAAATTGCTTTACCTCTGTAGGCATCTGAAATATCACCAAAAGAAAAATGCTTTCCTGTTCCATCACACCACTCTCCCTCACCTGTGGTATTTTGTAGAGTTGAAGCAATGTCCCCATATGGGCTGACACTGTGAATGATGTTCCTGTAAGTGCAGCTGCTAACTTCTCCTCATTACATTTGTAATTAACTTTGATATCATCCATCCCTGTGAGCCAAACAAAAGCATTCCAAAGAATATTCTTTTCACTGAAAGGGATATTATGAAGATCAAATCCAAGAGATGTGTTAGGTAAAAGATGAGGGTTCCTATTGATCTCCTCAATGGCAAATACCAGAGCCAGGACAAACTGGTAATTCTTAAACTTATACCTGAAATTAGGATATAAAAAATATATGGCAGTAAGAATTAGTTAACATACACTTTATAGTTCAAATTTTATTGTTTCTACAAAAGTCAATACTTTAAATTTTCCATTAAATGTCTGGAATTAGAAGGAGCATATTTTAGTTATGATAAATTATGATCCTATAGTTATAATAGTGATAAGTGAAAGCAAAAGCGAGCACTTTTTATCTTCCTTTCTTCTGAACATACAATAAATTTTGTGTCCTGGAAGCAGAAAATAAACCATCAAATATAGAAATGTTCTGATGTGTGAATCATGGTTCCTCAGCCTCTATAACTATAAAAAGCCAGCTTTTTAAATTTAGCAATTAAGTTTTCTAAGGTAACATGGTTTTTGCTCATAGTTGAATTGTAATTTTTACAACCTCTTTCCTTTGCCTTTCCTACCACTAAATTCTCCTACCCACATTCTCCTTCAAATTCATGGCATCATTTTTCATATATTGTTATTGCATTTATACAGGTATATACATATATACTTTTATTTATTACATTTCAATCCATTAAATATATTTGTAGAAACATTTCAGTGCTGTCTACTTAAGGAGATACAAAAGGAAGGGTAGAATTCAGTCTTATTTTATGTTGATGATATGACCATATATATGAGTAACTCTAAAATGCCACCAGGAAACTCTTACATTTGATATATAACTTCTTCAAATTATCAGGATACAAAATTAAAGCATAAAATACTAGTGTTCAGATGAGGATGTGATAAATTGGATGTGAAATAAACTATGGTACTGTCTTCTACAATATACTCAATACTGTAAACTATTTTCGGGTATCCCTAATCCAGAAAGTAAAAGGCCCATATAATCAAGCATTTAGGAAATTGAAGAAAAGGTGTCAGAAGATATCAGAAGAAGGAAGTTTTCCTATGTTCATGAGTTAATAAGATAACTACATTAAAAAAGAATAATAGCAATGCTCAGATTTGCTGTAATTCCCATCAAAATTCCAACATAGTTCTTCACAAAAAATGAAAGGAAATTTTCAGCTTCATAAACACACACAGACACACTCAGTCACACACAAAATAATAGCAACAACAACAGAAGATTATCTAAAATATTTCTGAATGATATAATTACTTCTAGAAGTAACAACATTCCTGTATCAAAGAAGTATTACAGAGTGCTTCTTATACTTCAGAGTTCCAATGAAGACAAAATGGTATTACCATAAAACAGAACTATTGATCAATGGAATCAATTTGAATTCCCTGGCATATATACATACTCCTGTGAATTCCTGATATTTGAGAATGATGTACCTTCAACAAATGTTTCTGGTCTTCCTTTAGAAGAGTGCATATATATTCATGCTTATAAATCTTCAAAAAACTGAATTCCTAATGGATCAATGGCTTCAATAAAAAGTGATATATGTCATAGAAATCCAGAATTTTGATAGAATAGAAAGTGGTGGATACAATTCAAGTCTTTTTGACACTGCCTTAACACAGCACAGACACTCAAATCAACAATTAACAACAGGGTTTCATGAAATGGAAAAATGTGTGTGTGGCAAAGGAAAGCACCATTCAGACACATAGGCAGAGTATTGAATTTTTACTACTGTGTAGCTGATACAGGGCTTACATCGAAAATAATTACATGAAAGCATCAAGGAAACAAGTAATTGACTTAAATTGGGTACAAATCTAAATAGATGATTCCCAACATGAAACACATGGGTAAGAAGCACTTAAACAAACATTCATTTTTTTTTTTTTTTGTCACAAAACTAACCTACTTTGTGTTTAACTTATATCCATCTGACTGGCCAAGAAAGATAAATAAAACAAATGACATTTCATACTAGCAAGCTTGTATTGTAATAGAAACATTAATCCATTTCCAGTGCTACTGCATATTTGTACATCCAGTATACGTATGTCTGGGTTTCCTCAGGAAGTGAAGAATGGATCTACCTCAAGATCCAATGCTATACTACTCTTGGACATACCCCCAAAGATGTTCCATCCTTCTAAAGGGACATTTGTTTATCCATATACATAGCTACTATGTATATGTACATGTATTTATGTAGCATGAATAATAAAACCCCAGAGACAGATTTGGGGTTCAAGCTGAAGACCAGAAAATAAACCCTAGAGATCGCTTATCTCTACAAAATCTTCAGATGTAAAAGAGAGGAAGTTTCTGCCTCATTCCCACCTTATATTCCTTTCTAGTACTGGGATTAAAGGTATATACCACCAACCACCCAGCTTCTATGGCTAATGAGTGTGGCTGCTGGGATAAAAGGTGTTTGCCACCACTGCCTGACCTATACTGATGACTAGTGTGGCTAGCTTAGTATTCTGATATTAAGGCAAGTTTTATTAGATCATAAATGAAACACCAAATTTTCCCTTGTTGGCTAAAATTAAAAATTATATAATGCTAATATAAGAAAAACTATATGCAATAAGTACAATATCTATGTACCATATAGACAGGAAATAAGTACATAAACCATGTCTAGTCCACTTTTATTTGACAAATACAGAGAAAATACCCCCTTATCTAATTTATTCTGGTAAATACAAAAGGTTGAAATTAATTTTATTTCTATTGTATTCTAATTTGCAATATCAAATTATCTTTTAATGTCTGTCAAACTTTTACACTTTACACCTCTTTATTAAGTTTCTTTTCTGAATCTAGTAAACAAGGAAAGCAATAATTACAAATATCTAGTTTTCAACTTCCTCAGACACAAGAGAATGAGGTAATATTGAGTATACAGGAAGTATGAGCATGCAAATCCCAAAAATGTGAGAAATGTCAAAAAGAGATGGCTACCTGGACAGTCATCCAAGTGCTTCTGCAATGTTGGAGCATCCATCTTTGGCCTATAGGCCTAGAATATCTGACAGACTTTTTGGTGAGGCAAGATTCTTTTAGGACTGTCCAGCCTTGTCTCAAGAATATTTTGTAGGAACTCTCCTTTATGCCCTGCTTGTTGAATATGAACAGCATACTCTCAGCAGTTGAGGTAAGGGTACTTCCTTGCCAATTGGCTTTCTTTTGCTACAAAGGAAGTAACTCCATGTGGAGTTTCTTTGATGCCCTTCACCTTATCCAATGCAGATAGGTGCTACCAGGAGTAGACATGTCTCATTATCATAAAAAAAGAACCTATGTTATTAAAACATCTTAAATAACATATTTTCTAGATCCTTGAAGTCTTTGAAGATAACTTACTTCCATAAAATATATCTCTTTGACCTTTGAAGGCATACCTATTGTGACCATAAGTTTTATTTTATTAGGTGAACAATTATTAACCTGTATTTATTTTTATCCTATATTGTTGGTAAAAAAGAACTTTCAAGAGCTAGAAATTTGCATTACGTTGTTAAACGAGCTATATAGGTACTGTACCTTGAACAAGATTAGAAACATATACATAGTAGGCTTTAATAAATTAATCTCAAATTCTAATAAATATGCAACATTTGTATAGAATAAACAAAAGTCCAAACCAATGTAAAATATTTAAATCTAGTAGTTGCCTTTTAAAAGTAGTTTTAATGATGCATCTTTTTATCTTATCTATATACTCATTTTTTTCTTATCATATCCTTGTTACCCTTTTTTTTTTTTTTTTTCAAAACAAGAACTCTGAATCTAGGATCCTTGTTCAACTTTCTTCCTGACTGTAATGAATAACAACTTGTAACTAACCTCCTAAACAATGAAAAATATCCATAACCCAATGAATAAGCAAAACCTACCCATTGCAGTTCTTTGGAATGTGAGCTTCATATTCTATTTTTTTTTAATTTTACATGTTGATCCCATTACCTCTTCTTCCCTCCCTCCCTTTCTTTCTCCCTCCCTCCCTCCCTCACTCTTACCCTCTCTATCCCCTCTCATGAACCCTGACCACCCGCCCCTCCCATCCCCCAACCCTAATTCCACATGTAGGTCGATGCCATCCAGGTGGGGTCATGTAAATCTGTCAAATCATTTGAAGTAGGGACTAGGACTTTTCTCCTCCTGTATCTAGGTTAAGGGATGTGTCCACAAGGTCCTTTTGTGCACCAGGAATACATCCTGGTTCCACTGACTGAGGTCCCTTAGACTGCTCAGGCCTTCTAGCTGAGACCCATATTCAGGGGTCTGAGTCAGTCCCATGCTGGATTCCCAGCTATTAGTCTGGGGGAGCCTATTAGCTCAATATTTTGGAGTCTTAGCTGTATCATTTTTGTACAGTTTTTGCATAATGGAATGTGCAGATCTTGTATTAAGTTCAGCTAGAGTAGTCTATGTGGCTGGATAATGTCAGCTAGCTCCCTCAAAATTTTTCAGAGAAGTGTGTGTGTGTGTGTGTGTGTGTGTGTGTGTGTGTGTGTGTGTGTGTGTGTGTTAGGCTGGATCATCTTAGTTAGCCAAGTGGAAATTGTCCTGAGTAGTTTATAGTCTAAAGAAGATCTTTAGCTAGTTATTTCTCAGCTTTATGGTGTTGTTCCTTTTCTAATTAGAAAGTGCAAAGCAAATGAGGCATTATTCAATCCAATTTTATGGGATCTTTATCTAACTTTTTTGTTTATGCAGCATATCCTTTAGAGTTCTATTTGAACTTTCTGTACTGCCTGCCCTTTAGGATAGTGTTGTACACCTGAGCAAAATGCCACTTCATTTTCTTAGCAACATGTGCTGGAGCATTGAATGCTTTTATTTGTACAGGTATACATATAATGGCCATAAATGCTAGCTAATCTGTAATTGCTGAATCAGCCTTTTCAGAACTCAAAGAAGTTGCCCAATGAAAACCTGAATAAGTACCAACGGTGTATTGTACATATTTTAATTTTACAAATTTTACAATCTTGAAAAATTTATCTGCCATATTTAATTCCTTTGAGAACCATTTGTGTTATTTCTTGTAGGTAGTGGAGTTTGGTTGTATAAAGAACAAGTAGCGCTTTTCCATATAATTTTCT